AGTTGCACAAAGGCCTAATGTTCAGAATTTATTCAAAGTTCAATCACAGAGAACAGACATTGAGGCTCGAACAAAATTTCTCTAAAAACTTGTGTAAAGATTCTTATTTGACTTAAGCGCCACTAACGGCGACTTCCCCACTTAAAAACCCTCTTTGAAAACATGATGGCGCTGACGTTGCAAAACTTACACTAGACACGTTTCCACTTAACTTTACACAAGTTTCTGATCGAACTTGGACGTCTCTGTGGTTTAATTCCTAATTTTATTGATCAGGGCAAACCTAGCTTTTGAATTTAGTTAATTGAGTTAAAATTGGCGTCTTGCAGTGAAGAACTACTAGAAGAAGTGAGAACTACTAGAAGGAGGATAGTTTCCAAATTCTCCAAGTAAAACAGACGATTTTTGGGGCAAATCGGTACATAAAGAAAAGCTAATAATTTCCGGTGGAAACTTTTGCTTGAATCGTGTAAGAAAACGTGTTTGCAAACTAACTGTTATTATTTCGGTATGGATCGGAGATGTTTTCATGGAAAATTATGCATAAGAAGTTTGCACCCACAGGAAGAGGTAACCTCCTGCGCAGCTGCATTTTTCAGAAAATGGTGAATATGTGCGATTTCCACTAGGATGAAAGTGGAAACTAAGTGAATTTACCTAGGAAAGATTGTATCATGCTGGTGATTATGGAGAAATGGTTGTATAGGACGGCAATTTTCAATAAATGTTCATTTTGGCCTTTTTTAGGTAAACATATTGATATTCACAATTTTCGATGGAAAACGCAACGGAACTTGATTTACTCAACACGCACCATACTATAAAATGGTGCTAGATGGTCTTCAAAGTGATAACAAGATGACAAATCATCTTTATTTTGAGTAATTGAGCAATTTACTTCTGTTTACATCATATTGTACGATGCAGCATTTATGGAGCTGTGAAATGAAATGAATATATCTTATGAAATTTAATCTGGAAAAGTCAAAGATGCACATCAGTCTGATCGTGAAAACATTTTCTTCTTCAATTCGAATGTTATATTGGAAGGATTTTACGCAGGCTTGAAGAAAATTGTGATTTAATGCTAATTTTCACGAATTTTACATGCAGTCTGTCAACATTATCTTCATCATGCAGTGGCGACATCTGCGTCGAGCCTAAGGACTTTAAAAAAAACAAGGACCAATATATGAGCTTATTCTACCAGGTGTTGGTCCAACGGCGGGTGTTGTCGGGCGTCTTTCCAGCGTTGGAAGATGTTCCTCGACGAATAGGCAGGCTGCAGGCAGCGAAATCGACGCAAAAGACCAACTCGTGTGTGAGCGATAATCGTCGGGGTATATGCGGAATTTGGTGGAGTCAGAGCTTTCTGTTGCGTCGCTCGGCGCCACACGACTTGACGAAACGAGCTGTAACGGTGGTGTTGCAGATAAATTCTCCACTAGCTAACGATCGGATTTTGATCGTCGGAGAACCGATTGTGGACGGTGGGAAATTCCACCCCAGATGAGCTGACCACGTTGATTGGGCCTGATGTGCCTAAACAACGCAGCAAATCCTTATTTGGTTGACGAATTCTTACTGATATCACTGAGGCTTACCTGATTTACTGTTAGCCGTTATCAAATTCCAATTTGTTTCACCAATTTCAAATCTTTACGAGCTCTATAAATTCAACTTTTAAAAGACTTTTATAAACTCGTGAAAGCTTTCTTCGAATTTAGTTAATTTAAATCACTATTCCAATTTCGGAATTATCTTCCTAATCGTTTTCTTAAAATTTTCACGGTGAAAATACTCTTGTGAACTGTATCACGTACTCCACCAGAAAGAACAAGCTATCGCGAGGCAAAGTGGTTCGATCTTAAAAACTACGACGCAATAACTACCCAATGGTCTGCAGTGGGAATTTATCCTTTTAATCCATTGGTCAGTTCTGGAGAGCGAGATTTTGTAAAGGTTTTTCATGCCAGCAGTATACGAAACTGTCTATTTTTAAGTAATTATTTTTTGGAGGTCAGTGGAAAATTGCGCAGTAACTGCAGGAACAATTAGTCTGGTTGATTCGCCTTTAAGTGTGCTTCGCTATTTGCACATGTTTATCGCGAGCTTTATCAATATACACTTATACCGAAATATTTCAATGCGAAGAATATCCACAACTAGGAGGCAGCACATGTAAAAAAAGGCAAACAATATATGTAGCAGTATTGGTTTGTCGCTACACTTAGAATCCATGTGCCGTTCTATCACAGAAAAACAGACGTAACTCTTCATTCTGGATCATCGTTTGCACATTTAACGATTGGTTTAAATGTTGTCGTTTCCGCGAACTATTCGCCGCAGCGCTGGCATCGGATCACTTTGACGTTTCTATATATTCTGTTTTTCTTGCATGCAACATTGTTTGCGAATCAGCGAGCAAGCTTGTTTTCCACAGGAAGCCCGTGAGATGTCGTCACTGCAGTCCTATGGTTGGTGGTACTATGTTTTGAAGATAATTTTATTCAAAGAGTTACGTCTGTTACGCCTCAAGATGCCAAATAACTCACTGTCTACGTAGTTTAATGACAACTCTTTAGCGCATTTTCAGAAAATTTCTGCAGGAAGCTTTTCCAAAGGTATCAGATCAGGGGCCACATTATGCGCAAAACGACTTTTTCATACTAGCGTTCATACAAAAAACGCTTCGTTGAGTTTTAGGAAAGACTTGTTTATTGGCGATCCATATCAAATTCTTCTCAAGAGCAGTTGTTGTCGTCGCCGGGATCGAAAAAGTTGAACGAAAACTTGATCGTAATTGTTTTGTGGTATAAGGAGCTCGGTGGCCTAGAGGCGACCGATTTTGCTTATTGAGCAGAAGACCGTCGGTACAAACCCAAGCTCCTTCGCGCTATGGAATCGCTTGGACATCAGTTCAGCATATCATTATCGTTACGAATCCTGCTGCATTTCCAACCCTTTTATCCAATCAGAGATGAACTTGTCGTAGGCTAAAAATCTCCTTGAAGATTAAAAAAAAAATCTTCCAGTGGCAGTCCTATGGGGTTGTACCCAATGGTGACGTAGGACTACGTGGTCTTATATAATAAATCTTATTTGTTAATTGCAGCAGGAGCTTGTGTTTTATGTACGAATAGGAATTCGAGTGGGGTTATCTCTGTTTATACTCTTTAGTATGACGCGCTTGACATAGATGGCCCACAGCGACTCACGAAGAGCTACTGATACCGATCAATAGCAGTGCGGCTTCTTCCTCCTTCTATGGATGCTCATGTAGGCTGCAGCTCGCTGCTTGCAGGTAGCCTTTCGTTGTGTACTGGAGAACACCACCACTCACCACGCGGTGATTGAATAAACACCGTTTGGTGAGGCCGGATGGAATTCAACTTCAAATCTCTGCTAGGGAAATCGCTTTTGCCTGCGAAATCGCTGATAATTTTAATTATTAAAGCAACAGTTGCACATTCGTGCAATTTTCAGTAGTGACATTTTGAAAAATGATTAAGTCTTAAATTAAACAGATGCGTAGAAATATATCTGATCGATTGGTGATAAAATTATTGAAATTGGTCCAGGGGCAGCTGAGTTATTAACGTTCAAAATCTTTCTTAATTTGGTTGCATGTTCCATTTTTGGTTTTCACAAAGTGTACCCCCATATAGAAATCAAAGACGTAGTCCTTCGTCAAAACCTTTCATCCAACATCCCCGTAATTTCTCGTGGAAGTGCAGAGGTGTTCTCAGCTTTCATTAAAGCGAGTATTACGTCAACATATTCCAACCCATTCCTTTCTTGACCAACTTGCGGACGTGGCCGTGATATTGTCTAGTTTTAGATCACCAATATTTACACATTGAGGATGCATGCTAGTCCCAAGCAACGTTTATTGGTTCTCTGTGTAACTACAGCTGATCTGTCAATAACATAGTTGCATCCTCGGGCGGTCAATCATGCTCATGCTGCAAGCGTTCATACGAAAAACGATTCGTTTCGGCTTCCCCAAATGAGGCGCTAGAAGTTATTTAAGGTGTCCTACCCAAATTTTGGTTAACCTTATTTTGCATTTTGTACTATATAGCATGGGACAGTATAGGTAGTAGAACATCCAAATAAGCCTCAAATAGCCTAGTCAGTTAAGGCACGGTATTAATCGGAGGCGGTTGATTCGCTTCCCGGTCGGGTTGGAAATTTTCTCGACTCATAGTATAATTGTGCTTGCTTTGCCACACAGTATACAAATTAATGCATTGGAAAGCCGTCAAAACGCTCGTACAAGAAACACGATAAGCTAAGAAAAGAATGAGGACGATCCTGACGCGATTTTCGCACATGTGACGTCCAGTTAAGAAAGTTGATATTTAGAGTGGTTAATGTGTGAAACGACTAACTTTATACCAATCACGTCCAAAACACCAATCAACGTCAGCTCAGAGCGAATTATTCGCCAGTTTATGAATGCAGCAAACAGCTTCAATTAAAAGATAAGACTTATCATTTCTTATGTGCATAGATATCAAAATTTCGACTTGAAAGATCGTGAGTAATATGCAACTTTGCTGTAAGCCTCAATGGCCCGTTTTATCATTTTTATTTTTGGCAGCACTGACCTTATCCCACGCACATTCCCTATACAAACCTGCCACACTCGGTACGAACGGCAAGCCGAGCAACCAACCGCAGCCAGTATTTTAGGCAGCGAGAGCAGAAGAAAAACCCTCCCAAAGGAAGCAGGCGAGAATGGAAAATCGATATTATTGATATTCTAGATGCTCCGCGTCGTGTCTCGCTTCCATGCAGGCTGCTAACCTGCTTTCTGTTATCCCACTGCGACCGTTTTCATTGAGAACTACAAATCCACTCGCTCTCCCTTTCTCCTCTCCAAATTGGGTGATAAGTAGCTACTACGCGATCCGTTATGCATTCTGATTATCATTAATTATGTTGTACCTACTACTAACGTGTTCCCCATTCTAAACCGTTCCACTCTGTTGCAGCTCGATCCAAAGGCAACCAATGAGATCGGAGCACTCGATGCGGCCAAATTTCTCAAGAAATCCGGACTAAGCGATGTGGTCCTCAGCCGCGTGTGGGACCTATCGGATCCCAGCGGTCGCGGCTTTCTTACCAAAGAGGGCTTCTTCGTGGCACTGAAGCTGATCGGACTCGCACAGGAAGGCTCGGAAATCAACATCAAGAACATCTACAATGTGCTCTCAAAACCGCCCAAAGTGGTAAGTAGTTGTTGCGGAGCCTCCTAGTCAAGTGTGTTTGCTAATTGCATCTTGTATCCTACGTAGGGTGATCTTCCGAAGGTGCCAGCTCAGGTCAGACTAGTGCCCTCGGAGAATACCGACTGGTCGATGAAGCCGGAGAAAAAGCAACAGTACGAGCAGTTGTTCGAATCGCTCGGTCCGATGAATGGGCTGCTGCCGGGAGCTAAGGTGCGTAGCACTCTGATGAATTCGAAGCTTCCGGTTGACACGCTAGGCCGAATCTGGGACCTAGCCGATCAGGATCGCGATGGAAGCCTTGATAAGCACGAATTCTGCGTTGCCATGCATTTGGTCTATGAAGCACTAGATAAACGAGCCATTCCAGCTACCCTACCACCACAGCTTCAGCGTAACGCACAGAACACCGGCAGCAGCTTCACATCGGCGACCAATGGCAGTTTCGATGCATTCGGTAGTGGTGGCGATGGGGGTTTCGTAGCAAACTTCCCAACAGACATTGCACCACCACCAGCAGTTCCCCCTCTTCCAGCGATAAACAGAGCCATTCCGCCTCCGATCGTTCCACCGGCACCACTCGTTCCACTCATTCCAACCGGTGCAACCGATCCGATTGCTACCGGAAACGCCTGGGTCGTCACCACACTGGAACGTTGCCGCTACGAGGAAACTTTCAACAAAAGCGACATGGACCGAGACGGGCTTGTGTCTGGGCACGAAATCAAAGAGGTGTTCATCCAGTCCGGTCTAGCTCAGAACGTGCTCGCCCACATCTGGGCCCTGTGCGACACCAATCAAATCGGCAAACTGCGGCTCGAGGAGTTCTGCCTCGCGATGTGGCTCGTTGAACGAGCCAAAAAGGGAATTGATCCACCGCAGGCACTAGCTCCGAACATGGTTCCCCCCAGCTTGAGAAAGAATTCGCTCATTGCAGCACCGGTAAGCACATGTCGTAGCCCCAATTTCGTCAATTTAACGCTTCATTCCTAGGAACCGAAACCGACGTACAACAATCCGGAGCTGGAGATGATTTCCAAGGAGATTGAAGAGCTGGCCAAGGAACGACGCTTGTTGGAGCAGGAAGTTGCCCAGAAGGAAGCGGACGTTCGAATAAAGAATGGCGAAATGAGAAGCTTACAGGTGCTTTTGTTTGGTTAAAAACGCGAAGAAAATCCCATTTCTAAATTTCGCCTTCTCCACAACAGAGTGAACTGGACACCCTGACTGCCACATTGAAGCAATTGGAAAACCAAAAGGGAGAGGCCCAGAAACGACTCGACGATCTCAAAAACCAGGTAAGTGGTCACGATGGAAGTCTTATCCCCCTGTAACGCGAAAGCAGAAAGCGATCCGATTAGTGATAACGTTAAATCCATTCATACCTACTAACGTATCAGTTCGATTCCCTAGCTTAGCGGTTACACACTGTAGTTTAATAACGCTTGCTCGATTATGAGTTCCATCATAACCTCATCACCATCAAATACGATTGCTAACAATTTGATAACCTAGATGCGTGCGAGGCGATCGCTTTCGAATTAACATTTTCCGATCTGACTACCTATTATATGACTAACCAATTTAAACACATTAGGTAACTAACGTTTCTAACAGCATGAATCAGTTTTTGTAAAATAGCAAAAAAATACGAAAACCATTAAATTTTCAGCTAAACAGAGACTCAAACTACTAATGTGTAAATTCGCGGAAAAAGTTCGATTTTGTTTTTGTTAATTCAATTTTATTATTTACTATACTATTTACTTACCGGTGTTTGTGTTTCAACTACTGTCGTGTGGTGCTACCTAATCGAATTATCGAATTGAAATTATTATGCATAAATATATGGAACGGCTTGCAACCTGCTCTATATAACATCGGTGTGCGTGTGTGTGTGTTACCACTAAAACAATCAAACAAACAAACAAACAAAAACTGCATCTTGGAAAATTACCGCAACCAAAATTCCACTTCAAAACTACTGTAGAAAGTTGAGGTAGATACTGCCATTGCTAGTGCCAGAGTGCAGGTTAGTTTTGGTTTTATATTATTTCTTTCTGTTTTATTTATGTTGTACTTATGGTTTCCCTAGTTTCTTCCTAATTTTTTTTTTTGTTATTGTGATTCTCTAACCCCAATTGGCCAATTAAGTGTGGTAGTACAGTTGAGCTGTCTAATTTATTTTCACTAGGCTGACCGATCCTGGAAATTTGGCAAAGAAATTATGTCTATGTGATTTGAGCATTTTAAGTAAATTATACGATATATTAACTTAAGATCTCTGTTAAAGGAAAAATAGTATCCATGCGTGTAATTTTGCTCAGTGTACTTTTTGAATTCTTAACCCTACGATAACTCCCAGCCCTACATTTTTTCTTGAATTTTTTGTCATTCTGTGCCGGAAATACGGCAAACTAAAAAAGAAGAAAATTATTGTTTCGTGAAAAGCAAAACGATAAACACGCGTTTATAACCGTATAAATAAAAAAAAAAATTAAAAATACAGTCCATTTGCGAACCTTTTTCACCGAACTATCCGACGGACAATCTCTTTTTTTTAATAACTTTTTAGAGACTAGGAGGCGAATCAGCCGTAGGCATTGGCGTAACTAATGGGGGTGCCAAGAGGCCAGGCCCCCTCCAGAATTATCTAGGCCCTCTCCACAATGTTTGGTGTTTTTTTTTTTTGACTCACTGGTATTTTGTCAAGCTTGTTAAGTTCGATGGTACAATTTAACAGTGATCAATAAAATTGGAACATCAACAACGATTAAAATCATGTATGTTGATTACTTTTGCTATGTTCTGGACTAGAAGAAACAATTTTGAGAAATAAATTATATCAAATCGAATAAGACGTCTTCAGGCTCTACAAATTGGCCATGAGCCCAGGGATTTTTCTTTAACTTGTGGGAACTTCGTATAACTTCAAATAGAAGTTCAGGGAAGATCGTAGAAATTAAGTAAACTTGGTAGAAATTCTGGGAACTTCGTGGACCCTTAGTTTTCTAAGGGGTTCTTTGAAAAAAGGAACTTAGAAAAGTCCTGAAGTAGAGAATTCATTTAAATTTGAGGAGCTTCGTAGAAGTTAAAAGAACATTATTTTATTTTAGAGAAGCTCATTATTGATCGGCAACCTTTACATAATTTCCGGTTTTTTTTCCTCATTGACTTGGAATAGTTGTGGAAATTACGTAAAAATTCGAGAAATTCCATTCATGTTCGCAGAAAATCAACGAGAAACGTAGAAATGCAGCAAACTTTGTAAAAGTATTTCGAATTTCGTAGCATTTTTAGCGTAAAACTTAAAACTAGCGTAAACTAGCGAGCTGCGTAAAACTTCATATAAGTGTAGGTAAGGAATTTTTAAAAAGTTTAGGGAATTTTGTAAATGATCTTAAAATAGTTCAATAACTTTTAAGAACTTCAAGAATCTTCGCTTTAGTTTAAGGAATATCGTTGCAGTTTTCAGAGATTTTACTCCAAAAAAGCTCCATGAACTTCTTGGAGGTGTCTTTCAGGGATCTTCGTAGAAGTCCTCGAAGATATTAGTAAGGTATTAGTAAGGTTCACTGGATATTTGATAGGTTGTAGGTTGATCGGGAACTATTCAAAAGTTTTACAGCTTATGGAATCTTGAATGATGAATCTTGATTTCATGGTCACATTTGTACATTCTCTATTGGAAAGACCCGTGCCTTGGTGGTTTAGCTATATTGTCAAAAATTTGTACCTAATATGCATAATTTTCTTTCTTTTCGATGAATTGTTTGTCCGGAATTCAGCTGCAGGATAGTATGCATGGATTAGCACATTACAACATTCCGTGCTTTTTCTGTGTTTTTTTTTTTTTTTTTTTTTATTAACCCCGGCCATAAGATTCTGCACAACCTGTGAATCAACCGTTTTTTGCATGTCAACCCATACTTTCTTCAGTTCCTCGACTGTCTTCACTACCTTAGGTCGTTTAAGAAGGTGCTGCTTCATAATCGCCCAGTACTTCTCGATGGGGCGGAGCTCCGGAGTGTTGGGAGGGTTGAACATTTTCGGCACGAAATTGACCTTATTGTCCGCATACCACTTCAGCACGTCCTTGGAGTAGTGGCATGAGGCCAAATCCGGCCAGAAGATTGTTGGGACGTTGTGGGCCTTCAGGAGAGGAAGCAGCCGCTTCTGGAGGCACTCTTTTATGTACACCTGTCCGTTCATCGTGTCCTGGGTCACGAAAGGTGCACTCCGCTTCCCGCACGTGCAGATGGCTTGCCAAACCAGGAATTTCTTCGCAAATTTGGATATCTTCTGAGTGCGGACATGCTCCGGAACGCTGAACTTATCCTTGGCCGTGAAAAACAGGTTGCCGGGGATCTGTTTGAAGTCGGCCTTCACATATGTTTCGTCGTCCATGATGCAGCATTCAACTTTCGTCAGCATGTTGAGGTACAACTTCCTGGCACGGGTTTTGGCGGACTTGTTCTGCTTCTCGTCGCGATTAGGGGCCTTTTGTACCTTGAACGTTCGAAGCCCAGCCTTAGTTTTGGCCTTCTGGACAAAACTTCGGCTTAGGTGCAGCTTCTTAGCCACATCCCTAACGGAGGCGTTCGGATTTCGGTTGAAGGCCCCAACTACGCGGTTGTGATTTTTGGTGTTGTACGGAATACTTTTTCCTTCACTTCTGGGCTTCCGATCGGTGGTCAACCGTTCCTCGAACCGCTTAATCACTCGCGACACCGTGGAATTCGCGATTCCCAACGTTTTAGCGATGGAACGATGCGAGAGATCCTTGTTCTCGTGATGAATGCGCAAGATTTTATCACGCACGAGCTGTTCTTTCGACTCCATTTCCGCGAGTTTTGATCACAGGACTTTAAAACTTGCAGGATGTAAATAATGCACTATGAACTAAATCCACCCAAATTTTCATTAAATTCTACCCAACGGTTAAAAAGTTACAGCAATTTCATAGTGTGGCAATTTCATCGTGGACACCCTTTACCTGTATAAGTACGTGTAAATAATAAATTGATACCAAATGGGTTAAACCACAACTGACTAAATTTAAAATATTAAAAAATACCAACTTTTGTAAAAATAAGTTCTATCTAGTTATAAACAAGGACACAATCATTCAAGTTTCGAGTTCATTCCTTTCGATTAGAAATATAGTTAAATCTTGATTTTATATATAACTCCGAATGTTGGTTAGTGCGATGCATCGAATAAAAAATTGTTCTGGATAAATACGTTATTACTTTTCTTTTCTTTCAAATATCGGAATCATGACATTCAAAATCCGGTATCTTAAAAACCTGATGAAATTAAATTATATCCTGATTATTCACAATGTTTGCCACATGTCAAGATTTTTCGAAATTTTTAAATCTTAATTTTTTCTCACTTTCTTATCTTGAAGAAATTTGAGAAAATTCTCTCGAGAAATGCTGTGAGTCTCAGAATGTAGGTAAGTTTCCTAAGATCTTGAAATACGAATTTTGAAGACCAGGAGATTCAAAACTTGTCCAAGCCTATGATATCGAAAACTTTTTTAAATCCATTAAATTTATTTTGAACAAAATTTCGTCGACATTTTTTTTATCAGGCACATATGTTTTGTGGAGTTTTATTGGCACTTTGAATTAGGTCAAAAATATTATAATTATTAAAATTCTTATAGGGGAAATGTTGGCTTCGGCAATACCTTAACCTATTATCGTCATGGGGGTAAACAAAGTCCTAGAGCACTCAAATTTGGCCAATAGTTGCTCTGAAACACAATGTATTCACATGCGAAAATTGAGCTCTCAAGGACGTTGTTTACCCCCCTGACGATAATAGGTTAAGGTATTGCCGAAGCCAACTTTCCCCCTATGTTTTAAATATTTATGTACTAGAATTTTAATGAAATTACTTTCTAGGAAGGATCTTGCAGTTTTATCTTAGTCTTATAATTAGGACAATTGATTTAAATTCGTTGACTTATATTTACATTTGTATTCGAAGAATTGATGATTACAATTTGTATCAGAGATATCCTTTTTTATTAGTTACAAAATCTTGAAAACATTTGGGTTTGGGATCCCAAAACTATTTTTATTTTAACATTAACAATGTTAAGAATTGTGCATATGCATGTAAGTAATTAGTGGATTTGTTAGTTATTTCAACGCTTTTGGACAATGCTTAACATTTCCCATTTTTTCAATAGTTTCTTGTTGAAAATCATAATTGAAAATTGGTCCAGAGGCAGCTGAGTTATTAACGTTCAAATTCTTTCATAATTTCATTACATGTTCTATTTTCGGTTTTCACAAAGTGAACCCGCATATAGAAATCACAGACGTAGTCCTACGTCAAACAATTGTGCATGTTGAACCTTTTACCCCGTCCTAAATGTATTAAATTTATTTTGTGTGCACTTTACCTTGAAACAGCCGAAATTTTATAAAATTATAAAATTCAAACTCCCACAATTTAATTTTGGTTCCTATGCCTGAGATTTGACTGATGGTGAAATATTCAAATTCAATTATCTAACTCTGAGACTTTTCTTAGGTTTGAGATGCTTACATTTACAAGTTTCGGACTGTGATTTCATTACAAAAATCATGAACAAACGATCATTGCTTGTTCAAAATCATTAAGTGTTTAAGGCTCTCCCAATCGAGGTCTCAATCGTTGTTATGGAATAAATATAATCAAATATATTGTTGCACCATTAAAATTATACTAAGCCTCAATGTCATATTATTGGTCACAAAAAAAAAATTACCCAAAAATAAGTTGCCTTGACGTAATTTGAGTGAGTTTTTTTCAACCGTAGTTTTGCAAAATAAAAAAAGTGCAGCAGGCCCCACCCAAGTAACAATTCTGCATTCATTTGGCATTCACTCTGATTTATGATGGTTTTATAATGGCAATGAATAATCCATTTAGTTTAAATACAGCATTTTACAGTGTAAAACGTTCCTGCTTAGTAGTTCACCTTTTCGCTGTTTTAAAAACCTTTTACAGTCTGGCGAGAAATTTAAAATT